TTCGGATCTCAACGGCTATGCCATCTTCAACGCATGCGAACAGTTGAATGAGCGCCTGCGTCCATACCGTGAGAAGATGCCCGGGGCCAGCATGAAGGAACTCGCCAATGCAGCCTACTTTGATCGGGTCAACCTCTCCGCTCAGGGCTTCTACCGTACCCCTGATATCGGGTACGTCTGGGGGGAGAACAAGGGTCAAATGTTCTTCTACTTCACGCAGGGCGTGACAGCCGCGGAGGTAGAGATTGACACACTGACCGGCGACTGGACGCCCCTTCGCGCTGACATCAAGATGGATGTCGGACGCACCATCAATCCATCCATCGATTACGGGCAGATTGAGGGCGCTTTCATCCAAGGGCAGGGCCTCTTCACCACTGAAGAGAGTCTATGGCATCGTGCCTCGGGCCAGGTCTTTACTAAGGGTCCCGGAAACTACAAGATCCCTGGCTTTAGGGACATTCCACAGGTCTTCAACGTCAGTCTTCTGAAAGACGTCGAGTGGGAGAACCTCCGCACCATCCAGCGGTCACGGGGTGTCGGTGAACCGCCGCTATTCATGGGCAGCGCTGTCTTTTTCGCCATCCGAGATGCTCTTAAAGCTGCGCGCAAGCAGTGGAATGTCAATGAAGTGCTTAGCTTGCAGAGCCCGGCGACGCCCGAGCGCATTCGGGTCAGCTGTGCGGATCCCATCATTGTGAGAGTGAGGGTCACGCCTCGAGAAGGAGAGAAGAGTTTCTTCGTCGCGATTTGATTATTGTCTATGGATGAGAGGGTTTATGATTATGACATTTTGGCTATACACATGGCATTAAGACTTCTGCTCTCTGTTATATTTTCGGGTACAGATCGGTATATAGCATGTTTCAATGCTTGTACAGCAGTTATAATAGGGTATGAATGACACGACGCAGCGATCTGCATTTTCATCTATTTGAACGATTGTTCTATATTCAGTTTAATGCTCAATATGTTGATTATCGTGTGGAATCTAGACTGAAGGCATGACATCTGTTCTGCATATGTCTTCTAGGGACGCAAGATGTAAACGCATGTCATGCAAAAAGTACATCAATAACGTGCATAAATGGGTATGATAGCAATGCTTCACGCCAAAGATGCTACAATACAAATGAAAAACACCAGAAAAAATGACGAACGAGACGCCACCGGACCAAAATCCGTATAATCCAGCTAGCGCTTCTCCATGTCATACTCGACATAGCTACTTCCCCGCAGGTCCGCAGCGCCGTCCACCTTGAGCGCAGACCCGTATTGTCTCTCCCCGGCAAACCCCAATTTTTCATCGTCATGGTGATTACTGCTCGCGGGAACAGCACGTGAAGCCACCGCGGTGCTCGTGGAAGCCTCATACCGAGGAGCCGGAGCCGAAGCCGGCATCGAGCGAGCGTCTGTGTTTGTGTTTGGAATAGCCGTCAAGGGTACGTCGATGAATCCTCCAGAGTCTGACTCGTGGTGGTTGACCCGGGCTCCTCCTCCCTCACCGCGGTTTCGGTCTCGGACCCAGAACAGACTCAGGGCTCGGACGATGCCGATGAGCGCGATGAATACCCAAATGAGGATGATGACCGCGGAGATGATTGTCTCCGTGCGGATGCCGTCCTCGGCCTTGTTGACGACTCGGATGACTACCTCGGTGATTTTGTTTGAGGTCTGGTCGCCCGCATCAGCGAGGAAGCTGTCTGAGGGATTGGAGCTATTGCTGGCGATGCTGGCCGCCGCCCCGCGGGAGAAGGTATCGTTTGGGAGTAGAGGGAAGTCGATGTGCGCGTGGTCATGGACCCAGGTGAGTCCCTTCTGGATACCTTGGACTTTGAGTCCAATGAGACACTCGAATACGTCCATGAGAGGCTCGTAAAGGAGGGTTCCGCCGAAGGTGTCGTTGAGGACGCCGGTCGTCTTGTCGACGAAAGTGTTCAGCGTATCGTTTAAAGCGGTCGTGCTGGTGTTGACCCAGCCAAAGACGTTCTCGTTCAGGTCTTGGTTCATGTGTCCGATGACTCCGTTGGCGTCGTTTGCCCACTCCGCCGAGGCATTCTGTAGGCTGTCGACGACCTTGTCGGCAAACGCGCCGACTTGCGTCGATAGCTCGGGCACGGTCTTCTCGACGGCTTGCAGAAGCAGATATTGACACAGACAAGAGAGTAGTCCGGCTACTCCAAGACAGAGGACAAACAACGCTGCAGGCGTTGTTGCATAAGCAACCGCCCAGCGTACAAGGATCTGCCTGCGGCTGTTGCTGAATCTGCTCGCCGCTTTGATACCGGCTGCGGCAGTGTACGGCCGAGACACGATGTAGACAACGTCCATGGGGTCATGGGCTTCCTTCCTGACTAGCTGAGAGCGTTCCTTCATCGAGCGCCAGCGGCGGATCTCCTGCCATGCCATTGGGATACAAGCCAGCGTTGCCGCGACGATGAGAACAGCGATGAATATCTTGCGCGCTGTCATAACCAAATTTGCCACGCTGTCGAAGAACGAGTCTATGCCGTTGTTGCCTTCACAGAATGTCAGCTGTTCTTTTGCTGGAACCGGTAGCAGAGATCGGTCGAAAGTGTATGTTCCGAGAGATTCATTGACGAGCTTTTTGACCTCTTCAAACGGTGTGCGCAAGACTGTCTGGGTGAAATTGTTGACTTCATCAAAGGTCGGAAGTGAGCTATTGAGCTTGTCAAGCCCTTGGTCAATTGAAGAAGGCAGCTGGAGGTTCTCCAACGTGCTGATCGAGCTGTTGAGGTCCAATGTTGGTACGCTGGCTCCAAAAGCACTGGCGACGGTGTTCACACCATCAAGGAATTTATTGAATGCGCTTTCGAACGTGCTGACGGCTTTGCCAATGTCGTCTCCGACATCCTTGACAGTGGAATTCAAAAAGTCCGCGGCCTCTTCAATCACGCCCACCGCAACATGCACGCTGCCTCTAACCGCCAGGGTGAAAAGACACAGATAAGTCTGGTACAGCACTTTGATGATGAAGAGGACCAATTCTTCGACACCAGTGATGGTAAGCATCAGCATCGATTTGAGGCCGCTCACAGCCTTCTCGACTCCGGTTGCTGTTAACTCGTTGACCCCTTGGGATAAATAATGGGGCATAGAAGCCATCGAGCTACCCATGGATTCGACGCTCGTGCAAGCGGAAAGGGCTTCCCGTTTCGCTGTGCTCATGTCTGCCTGCAGACCTGAAGCAGCTAGCAAAAGTCTGACCAGAACTAGAAGCAACAGTATCGTCCATCGATTGATCCATACTTGCGATAAGCGAGCCCTGAGGCCAAGGTAAGGGGTCAGACCGTCCGGAGGTAATGTGATTATATGTCCCTGATTCGGACTTGGGGCGTGAGCTGCGTAAGGTGGCAGAAGAGGAAATATCGATCGACCAGATCTTGAGAATAACATGCTGAAAATCTATATGAAGAACAACGTTGAGTGATAGGCGCGCCGGTTGAGGTAACAGTCGCAGACAGAATGTGCAGAGAGAGGAAGTGAAAGACGAAGCCGAGAATATAGAGGAATCCGCAAAGATCAAAGAGAATGTTAACCGGCAACTATGGACTTCAGAATGAGGAGAATGAATCAGTCTATTGAGGGCTCATGACGCATGCTCGGGTCTATCAAAGATGAATGAAAGAGGCTGTTGCGACAAAGAATAGAAGTGTTAGCGCTTGTCAAGACAACAACAAAGGAAAGGTAACAATGACTTAATAAAGCACAATGAATAGAAAAACCAGGGAGAATTGAATTTATATCTGCAAAGCAGTTGCATATTTCCCATTTCAATGGAAATATTCTCCTTCTGACCTGAGCAGACATCTGAGACAGCCATCGAGCCCGACCACAACCAGGAGGAACCAAGAAAAGCAGCTGCTATTCCGTAGATCAACATAGATCTAAGGTTTCTGCACCCTGGTCGTTTCATCTTGCGCGAGATGTTGGGCAGCTTATCTCAGTGGTTTCTTCAGAGCGCTGGCAGGCCAAATATAGCCTACCAGGGCCGGCGCTTAAGCTCCAGGATCGCTCAACCAATCCTTCAAGTAGTGCAGAAAAACGTCAGCCAATCAATTAGATATTATGAACAAAGATCTGCTTAGTGGAGTCAAGTAGGAAGAAAAACAAGGGCTCTTTGTCTCACTGCCTTTGGCATCTGCAGAGCTGCTTCTTGTTCCATTTACCGCTGGCCTGCCGGATGTTAGGGTATCACCTATCATTTGACTGGATATGAGAGATAGAGGGAGTAATTCGACATGGAAACAAACGCTGTGAGGGAGTTATTTATATTTATTAATGGATATATAGCAACTTCTATTCAACAAAAGAAGATCTCAAGATGGTGGACGATGGTTGTAGGATGAAGCAACGGCATGTTCTGGGCAGACGTCCAACGTCAGCCTCAGTCAACTGCATATCAGTTTGGCCGGCGCCGAAATTGGGCAATCAAACGATGCTTCTGTGACATTAGGTAGAGAGGTAGGTTGGAGAAATCCGAATCTATTGAATCTATTCACAATACCTTCAGTTGTCTTCCAATTACGGTTAGCGCAGAGTGGCCAACGCTTTGCCGGTCTAGCCCAGAGGCCTCAGGCCACCATCCATCTATAAACTAATAACACTCCATAGTACACTACCTACCTATCGACATGACGACACACTTCTTCTCTTTCCTTCCCCCCTCTGCTCTCTTTGCCTGTACTGACTCCTGTAATCTTTGCGGAGTCCCAACGAAGACTCATCAACGTGATGTGATTGATTATATATATATTGCTCACTCTCAACCTCCTCTCTAACTAAGCCTCTAAAGAACCCCAGGGTTGCTCTGATCACTGGAGGCAACTCTTGCTTCATCAGTCCCTAAGAGCAAAACCATCACTAGGTTTGACCCCGACCGACCAGTGCATATCTCCTTTCGAATACTTGTTGTAATCAGACCCGTTATTTCCGTTTAAGAAATCATCTTGGTGCGAAAGTGCTTGCACCTTCCCACGATGGACTCCGAAGCAATGGACGCCTCTGCCCAACACAATGGCACCATCGCCTCAAACTTCTCCTCCAACAGAACCGAAATGTCCAGACTTATTACCGATTATCTCGACTACAAAGGGTATGAGAGTTTCGTCGCCAGCATTGAAGACAGCCTCAATACTAGCTGTGACTTTATACAGTTCTCAAACGTCTCCGCAAAGGACTTTGAATTTTTGGCATCCGACAAGAACCGAACGTTGAAGTCTGCAAGATTCAGTTACAACTTCGTGACCGAGTGCCTTACCATCAAAATGCCGCAATGGGACCACAAGGAATTAGCTGGCTTATTTCGAGCCATGATTGATGAGCAACTTTTTTCAATGCTTGTCTCCGGAGAGTTCATCTCACTTTCATCACCTTTGACCGTGCTGGGCAGTTGGGCCAAGGAGCCCGACGCAGCATGGTCACCGGAGTCGACAGGAAACCTTACGGTCGTGCTTGAAGTAGGCGATTCAGAGTCGGCACAACAGTTAGCGATTAATGCGCGAGGATGGCTGGAATCCCCTGGCACAACCGCTGAGACATGCATAACGATTGATCTTAGCGAAGAGAATAACCTCACTATTGACGTTTGGAGGCTGGACAGAAGGGTCTATGCGGTTTCCACTAGAAGACTCCCGTCCCCCGCCGTTCGGGTGCAACACGTTAAGATCCTCAATGGAGATGCGGGGCCCCAGATAGATGGTTGGAAGATGGATGAAAACATGGGTGAGATCCCTACGGACGAAATCCAGTTGGATTTCGCGATGTTTGTTGGGCGCCGCGCCACCACCAGCATCGAGCAAGACATCGTCATAAGCAGGGATCTTCTAATGGCATTCGCCAACAGATTCTGGCGTCGTCAAGGCCGGAGATCAGCCAGAAGCTAGTACCGGGACGAATCTAGCCCTTTGATTTCTGCCCAATCTTGAAAGATGGATTGAGATAATTCCGAATAAGTCAGAAGCCTGAAGGCCTAATTTAGTAATCGGAATGGAGGCATTGGCTTTACACGTACTCTGGAAGGGGGTACTTTGTCTGGGTATTATTCTCCTGTATTCTCGGCCGATACATCGAATCTCAAGGTATAAAGTGCTCCCTACCAGACCAGACTAGGTGATAATAATAATGATCCGAGGCACTACTGTCGTCCTCCGCCGTCTGCTATTTTACATATTAGCCACAAGCTGATAATCGTACCAGGGCTTTTCGACCGGAGCCAATGGCTAGCTAGCCAATAATTTAATACTCGAATAATACAGATTATATGAGGAATTAAGAGGGCCATGGACTCGTGAAGTCTGCCTAAAGTGCTTAGGAGCAACCAGATATCCTGTTGGCATACAGGTCTCCGGGACTTTTATAAGTATATGGGATAGAGACGAGCACATTGTAGAGTTGACATTATGCGCTGTCCTGTATCCGAAATATGAGCCTTAACACTTGGGTAATCGATATCTTCCGCTTAGAATCAAGAAGCTTGATTGTGAGGAGGAGGCTGTTTGATTGTTATCCAGAATCCAACCTCTGGGTCCGTAGATATCTATGGTCACAGGAACAGGAAGTCATTGTCTATGGGACTCAAAGGTTACTTATTGATCATTAAAGCTTGTTAAGAAGACAAAGATAGACATTTAAGCCAGCTAAGCTCATCATAACAGTCAATCTTTGCCCAGACTATTATGTGTACTCAAAAACAGGAGAGAAAGGCAGAATTCAGACGGACTCTTCCGGAAAATCAGTTGGTAACCATCGCCATGGCGATGTTAGTGAACAAGAACACGGAGCTTTCTCTGGTAGACTCTTTCATTTCTTTCTTTTACTCCTTCAGAGACCCTCTCTAGGACGACCATCGAATCTAAAAAGGAGAAATGATTCATAGACATTTTGTTGAGATACCAGAGATCGAAGAGTTGTCAAGACTGACAGAAATAGCAATATCCCACCAGGTTTACTCTGAAGTCTACCGGCGCTGAACAAACAAGCAGGTAACGCGTGATGATATCGCATCCCGAGGGAGCTCCGGGTCCCCTAGGAGCCTCCGGAAATAGGATGGCAACCCGGGACATAGAGGGCTGGGATCTCGAGGCAGCAGAGCGTTCGCCCAGGATGATGCAGAGAGTCTCAGTGACCAACATCCCCAGAAGCCTCTCTGATCCACTGAACCTGAGCGGCCTGGAACTGAGTGTCAAACACCAAGCAAACTACATGCTGACGGACCACTCCACCTGTCTCATTGGCAATAGCTTGGAGAGTGACAAAGAGACAAGCTCACCCACCTCCCCAGTGAAGATGAGTAAAAGTCATTCTTCAACTGAGAGCAGTGACGTGGGTAAGTGGGCTAGCATTCACTTTCTTTCCACCAACTTCTCCAGATGTCTCTCAACCGCAGGTAAACGCGTTGCTAACTGACGCAAAGAAGTGGAAGAAAGGCAGAATATCAATCCAGAGCAGCTCATTACTCGCTTATCTGCAATCAACTTGATACGCGCAAGAACCATAACTCGCTTGTCTCCAACGGAATCCTTATCCTCAGGGGACACCTTCAGCCCATTCAGCGACCGTTTTCACTCATCCAGTGCGCATTCTGCAGAGTCAAATCCCAGCTCGGTTGTCATCATGCAGCCAGTACCAACGTCGCGAAAGAAAAAGAAGAAGAACACCAAGAACAGGAATAGGGGTCGGAACAACCAAGATTCTCTGGGCGAAGGCCCCTCTGGGGATAGAAACGAGACACACTTGCGCCAGACACCTCACGTCGGACCCAATATGGGCTCGAACGTTCAAGCCCGTGGCGAGACGAACCAGCAGATGAGATCGCCAGCACCATATGACCCTGGTATTTCTCAGAGCAATTGGATCTCTGCAGACTGCGCTCCATCTCAAAGTGATTTTCAACAAGGTGACGCAGCCCTGAAGCCAGGCCCCAGCACTGTTGAAAAGCATTCGAGTCACACGCTTAACCTGGCAGAAAATTCTGGTAGCAGTGTTACTTCACTGCATGACAAAGTGATCTCTGCTGGAGAAGCTGCTCCTGTGCTATCCTCCTCTCAACACCCTGGTGCCAATAAAGACAGTCGCAGATCCGCGAGTGCAGCAAAAGAAAGGCTGCCTCCTATAGAAGAAGCTGCGAGCGAAGCTACACAGGATTCCCTGAGCAGTGATGCGTCTACTTCCATAGTGGAAAGCGAAAGCCTGCCAGCCAGAACGCAGATTCGAGAAGCCTCTCCACCTAAGGCTGTAAGCGCGATATTGACGGCTGACGAAAATGCCCCAAGCAAGCCAGAGACAGAGAAGGTCTCTTCAAGCGTTTCTAACTCTGAAATTGAGCGGAACTCGCAGCAGATGACCCACTTTGAAGACCATGAATCGCCTCATTTCAGCAACAGCCACTCTCATCCGTCGCCCCTGGCAGCCAGTGACGTTTCAACGCTCTCCACACCCAAGGCTCACGGAAACGTCTCCAGTCAGAGACCGGAAGCTTTTTTTTGGCAACTCGATAGCCATGGATTTCCGTGCGCAAAACACAGCTGCGACAAGCGTTGCAATCTCTGGGACGGAAGGACGGTCATCTGCCCTAAGTGTGGGCCATTCTCCGAAGTTCGTTATTGCTGCAAAGATCATCTTCTCCAGGACATCAAATGGCACTGGATCTACTGCGGACAAATGACCTTCACACAGCCCTGTCGCGAGAACTCAGTCCCTCGAGACGTACGAGATGGCCCACCACTGGTACCCTGCCTTCATCCCTATGATACCCCAGAGCGTCATCGCCAGGCTGTGTACTTCAACGTCAATATTCGTGAAGGAGATTATTTCGTCTTCTCAGACTATGCAGATTGGGCACAAGCAGGATTCCCGGAAAACAACCCCGAGATGCGTTGTTCCCATCGGGTCCTCTACACAATCAAGTTCGAAGATCGGGAGAAGAAGGATACATTCCGACGCGTCCTCGCAGCATGTCTTTTCAGTAAGTCAAGATCATCAGCCGCGCATGCCACTGAGGTCGACTGCTAATCACAAGCTTCATCACAGTGACTATCGAAGTCCATGAACTTGTCGATTACATGTACCGACTAATCAGGGATGATCTGCGGTCTCAAGAGATATGGTCCCCCGAGGTCGAGAACACGCTCAAGTATCAGATCCATTCTGAATTCGCAATCAACATACTGCCAGATATCACTGGAGAGAGACACGCTTGCGAGACCGACTGGACCGGGAGAAACCGTCGTCACTGCCCGGATGCCGTCTGCCGCGGTGAATATCGTCGTCTTCTCGGTTCGGTTGGAGGAAATGGTCATCGCCAGACTGTCGAACATTTAGAAGAATCTTTTTGGATCTTGCGGGCTGCGAGAACGACTCATCCTGATGTGACCGATGTGCATGCGCGCATGAGAGGGGAGGGCTTCGAGGGCGTGGCGGAGGAAGATAAAAGGGTCTTTCAGCGCGGAGAAGGATGGGACGGTGCTGGAACTGGACCTATGGAAATCGAGGGCATCAACGCTTGAATGTCTCTCTGACGACTAAAGACTGACGTGAGTTGTTCTTGGCGATTTTCATCTTGAAGATAGTCGCTCGAGGGTTTGGTTATGGTGGCTTGTGAGAGCGCATAGGAATCTGGATGTTAGAGTAGATAATAATCGCTGGTCAGCTCCTTCCTTTAATGAGCATAATGAATCCTTCGCCATACTAGGTAACTGTCCCCACCAGCTGAAAGCTTCAGGGCAATCTGCAGAAATGATATGCAATGATGATGCCAATATGTTCAAGGTTAGATTGACATGTCCTGAAGCAAGAACAAGACGCTGAGATATCTGAGATACAAAAGGCAGAACGAAACCCCGCTAATCTAGATTTTCAAATCCTCCGTGACCTGCCCGAAAGCTTCATTGCTGCCCCTATGAACGCGACGCAAGTCCTGGGCACACAAAGCCCGGGGAATGTCCATCCGTCGTTCGCAGCACATTTCACCGAAGAACCCACCGAATTTTGAGCGGTCTTACTTCGAAATGTATTTCTTCAGACCGCGGAGCCTCTCCTTCGCCGTCTCCAAGACATCATCGTTTTTACAGACGGCGAAGCGAAGGTAGTCTTCGGCGATGTGAGCATTCGTATCGGTGTAGAATTCCGTCGGAGGGATGGCTGCCACCCCTACTTCGTGGATCAGGAACCAACAAAGTTTGAAATCACGAGGGCGGCTGGCGACATGGGGAGGGAATGGGTAATCTTCCGGGAGTTTGACGGAGGACATATTTGCAAGGACGAAGTAACCACCCTCAGGGTCAGAGTACTAGCAGTAGTGGTCAGTAACGGTAGCTCTCTTGGGCCATCTGCAATAGACTCACGGGAATGTTGAGCTCATCAAAGATTTCGCAGAAGCGTTCCATTTTCTGCTTCATTTCCGTCCGGCTCTGGTCCCAGAATTCGACCTTGTCCGCCTGCTCGAAAGCCACAGCAGCAGCTTCCTGGAGGGGAGATACACTGCTGTAGCAAATACGCGTGTGTGCAGCGGCGACGTACTTGATGAGATGCTCCGGTCCGATCAGGTATCCAACACGCCAGCCAGTAGCGTAGAAGGCCTTTCCGGCAGAGCCAACCGTGAGAGTACGCTCCCAGAGCTCTGGGGACAAGGTAGCAATTCTAGTAAAAGGGACGTAGTAGAGGCGATCATAGACCTCGTCGGAGAGGATAATGAGATTGTGCTTCACACACAGCTCACCGATGCGTTCAAGTTCGGCGCGCGAAAAAACTTTTCCCACGGGATTATGTCTGATGTTGTTGTTGTCAGCTTCATACAAATGTAGTTGATCCGGCTCACTTACGGCGAGTTCAAAACCTACAGAGCGAGTCAGCTATTGTCTCAATAAGCAAGAAGGCTACTTCTTAC